TATATAATGCTTAACAGATCATTAGTTAATATATATTACATTCACATAGCTAGAAATATGAGATAATGTGCTTGTTAATGTTTACTAATGTACTTATTAAAAGTTACCTAATGATTTACAGATTATTATTTAATGTAAATTAAAATGCTTACAAATGTCATTAAACTTTCAATTCATATGATCATGCACTTTTTAAAAATCTACAAATAATTTGAACAAATTATATAATGATTACAAGCTTATTTGTTAATGTACTTTTGAATACTAACAAATGTCATTACACTTCAGTTCATATTACCTAATGCTCTTTTTTACATTTACAAATGTTGTGAAAAAATGAGCTTAATCAGTCATTTTTAACTCTTTACTATTCACTGAACTATTCATGTTATCATATTATTCATTAACTCATAATCACAGTCTGTAAAGTTCATATATTTGGTCTACGTTTGTTGTGTAGGCTTCTTCTATTTACAAATCTTAACAAATCATTTATTAATTATTTGTTCATGTTTTTGCAGTAGCTAATCTAAAGTGGAAACTATTCATCATTTGTAAATGTTTATAAACGTTTACTAATCTTTCAGTACCTGTAAGAGCCATATGTTATTTGGTTTTATATAGATGTGGAATAAATAAATAATTGTGTGTGTTAAGCAATTGTAAAATAATTATAAAAGTAAATAATTTAATATGTGTATTATATTTCATATTGACAATGATGTCATTTCCGGCAAGGACCGTTAGACCGTTTTGTGATGCAATATTGGAGCGAAACAGTTTTTTGAACGTGTAACATCTTTCCAGTTAATTTTGTTATTAAACTTTACCTAAAGAAAGTTTCTGGACTACGGAATGTTATTCGAGTTCAAATCACGCTCACACATGAAGAAGCAGCAAGAAAGATGAAAATTTAAACGGATTGCTATCACAGTACCTTTATGGGCATTGGACTTTTAGCTGCTGTAACAACGTTTGTGTAAAGGGTGGTTAGTTAAGTTTATTTAAATGCTTCTTAAAGATGTAACACACATTGTAATTTGGGTGAAAAACATGTTTTTATTGCCTCAACACTTATATTAGTATACTATATCATTAAACAGGATATTCCTTGAATCATACATCAGCAGGAGAAAACAAATCTTTTTTTTCAAGAAAATACTTGTTCATTTATCAAAACAATGTAATATAAACAGATTGAATCATGTTCCCTTATAATAACCAAACTGACCCCTCTACAATTTTGACCCCTTAAACAACCCATACCACCAAACCCTAACCTTAAAGGGGTCATATGATGCGATTTCAAGTTTTCCTTTCTCTTTGGAGTGTTACAAGCTGATTGTGCATAGATAAGATCCCTGAAGTTGCAAATACTAAAGTCCCAAAACCAAAGAGATATTCTTTATCAAAGTTAAGACTCTGCCACGCCCCCCTAAAACGGCTCATTCTAACACGCCCCCACATATCTACCACACTATATGGAAATATTTGCATAATGCCACCCAAATGTTCACGCACAGAAAGAAGGCGTGGTTTCAGTAACCGCAGTTAGTGTTGAAGCAGCCATGTCACGGAGACGGCTGTGTGTTTCTAGGCGAAAGCAAAAGCACTTTATTTAGCCTTCCGAAAGTAGATGCATTTAGGAATCTTTAAGATTACTTACAACAGAACAGCAATGCATTTTATGGACGACCATTTCGTGAACCTAGGAGAGAAGGTAATTCTGACTTTGCTATGACAATCAAAGCAAAAGCACTTTATTTGGTCTTTCCGAAAGTAGATGCATTTAGGAATTTTTAAGATTACTTACAACAGAACAGCAATGCATTTTATGGACGTTCGTTTCGTGAACCTAGGAGAGGAGGTAATTCTGACTTTGCTATGACAATCTGGCGCTTCTGAATCAGCTACTGTTTTGTTATTAGTTTAAGTATTTGCTATTGACTGTTCAAATGCGGAGTTTTGCGCATTGTGTGTGTGTGTGCGCGCGAGCGAGCGAGAGAGAGAGAGAGAGAGCGCGAGAGAGCGCGAGAGAGAGAATGTGAGAGAGAATGTATTTTTGTCATGCCAATAAAGCTATTCACACCTCAATAGCAGCAAAAGTGTTGTACATTAACAAAAGCTTTCAACCATTGTATAACATCTGTTAAAATCATCTGTAGATTTTCAAAACGTGCATGATCATATGAATTAAAGGTTTAATGACATTTGTAAACATTGTAATTTACATTAATTATCTGTTGATCATTAGGTAATGTTTAGTAAACATTAACAAGCTCATTATTTCATGTTTCTAGCTATGTGAATATATATTAACTAATGACCCGTTAAGCATTATATAATGCTTGTTAATGATTTGTTAATGAAAGTTATTATAAAGTGTTATCCAAGATGGCGCCTGTGTTTGGCTGGGCCGCTGCCACTGTCTGTCTGGCATTGTGTCCTTCCTGTCCTGTGTGTCGTTCTGTTTTTTCTGCTTCTTAACGATGGACTTGCTGTTCAGGTGTATCTGATCGCCAAACTCTTCTATAAGATCATCAATGTTAGATCACAATGTTCCTCCGCCCTGGGCTGATATTCCAGTCATTATTGTCCACATCAGTCCACTCAGCTGCTGATTCTGGCGGTGGTTTTCTACACCGAAGTTCCCAAAGACATCGGAGGAAGTGAGGGAGAATGGGCAGGATTCAGGTGAAGCTGAGGCTGTCCTGGAAGCGAGGAGTCGTCGGAAAAGGGCGTCGATTCCTTCAGAGGAGTCTAATGCATAGACTGTATGGTCTAATGATTCTCCCTCGTCTACAGCAGCTGGATTCTCCTGTCTCCGTCCCGTCTTCCCAAATACATTTGTGGAGTTTTTGCGCTCGGCGGATTGAGTCCCTGTCAACTCCGCACGATTCCCCGCACAATATTCTCTAGTGAAGACGTTACTCTTCCCCTCAGGAAGGCACTGGTAAATGCTCGTTCAATAACTAATAAAACTTTTGTGTTGAACGACTTTTTTAAATCCAAGGAGCTGGACTTTTTGTTTTTGACTGAAATCTGGCAGAGAAATATGGAAAATGCTCCCCTTAAGGAAATTTGCCCAAATAATTATTTATACCTTTATTAGTCTACCGAGAATTTTAGGCCGTGGTGGAGGACTCGCTGTGGTGTTTAGAAACAGTTTTTTTTCTGCTGGGTGGTTAATGCTGGGTTTTTCTCTTCCTTTGAATTGCAAATGATTCAAGTTGGTGGTACAGATCCCCTTTATTGTATTTTCATTTATCGCTCACCTGGTCCTAATAGCGCCTTCTTAGATTATTTTAGTGATTTCTTTATCGTCTATTCTTAATCTCTCTAGAATTGTGATTGTTGGTGATTTCAACATTCATATTTATGATGTTTTTGATAAATTTGCAACTGACTATGAATATCACAGAGTCATTTAATCTCACCCAACATGTTACTGGTCCTACTCATATAAAATGACATACTTTAGACCTTGTTTTTAGTCTTGGTTTAAATATTGGTTCTGATCTATCTGAGGATCTTTTTATTTCAGATCATAATTGTTATTTTATTTGACTTATGTTTTTATTTAGACTCATCACCATGTAGTCAGATAATTTAGTCTCACATCCTAAGTAACCTTTCTGAAGAAAACTTTTGTGCTGCTTTTGAAAATTCCTCCATTATTATGTCAAACAGTAGTGTTGATGTTCAAGTACAACTTTTTAATGAGTACAGCCTTTCAATCTTTGATGAAGTTGCTCCAATGAAATCCAGAGCAGCTCCTCTGTTTAACTCCGCCCCTTGGATGAATGATAAATAAACCTGTCGTAAAATTTAGCATTTGTGCAAATCTACTCGACTACTAGTTCACAGCATTTAAAAGAACTTCTAATGGAGTTTAATAACATGGTTAAAGATGCCAGAATTAACTACTTTTCTAATCTAATATCTAGTAGCAAGTAACATAATCCCAAAAATTAGTTTGACACCATACAGTAACATTGTTTCTCCTCCATCACCTGCGGTCCAAATCTCTTCAGTTGACGAGTGCAACAGTTTACTCTCCTTCTTTGTGGATAAGATAAATAATATACAAGATAATTGTATTCCTTCTCTTCAAATACCTTCTACTTCCATTTTAGTAACTTTGGAGATATTTTCTCTGATAACACTAGAAGATCTCACTAAACTCATTAGCTCTAGAAGTCTCTTCTAGTTCCCTGGATGTGGTACCCACTGCTTTGTTTAAAAACGTTATTGACACCATTGGTCCCTGTGTGCTCACCATAATTAATAATTCACTAACATCTGGTCATGTTCCAATTTTGTCACAGTGTCTGGTTGTGGTGCCCTGGACTGGCCACTTGAGGGCGCTCTCCCGTTTCAGTGTTACATGTTTTGAACTCCATTTCCCATAGTCCCTTGCCTGTCGTTTCTGTTCTGATCATGATCACCTGTTAGTAATTTACTCATCATCCCATCACTATTTATACCATGCTCACTC